CGATATTTTCTCAGTGTTGTGAATGAAAAGACACGTTTTGCATCGTGCATGAGCGCATTCAAAAGTGCCAGGTAGGTCATTAGTCTGAAAACTCCATTTAGTCTCTTATCTTCAGTTAAAAGAGCCTAGACGACATAACTTTCTGGGTCTGATAAGGGTGGTTGAAAAAGCCCATCGTGCTAACATGCTTTCATTTTATTGTGGACTAATTCTTACCATTTTTAGAGAGTTTGAAAAGAAATCCTTGTAACTAAGAGCTAAAACTTATTTTAGAGGTTTTATTAAACTTTTGAAATGGGCATAGTTTCTTTCCCCAACCCAGATTGAAGTGTGACCCAGATTGAAGACCTCTATTGTTTGCCTATCGTTAAAAATAAACATATCCTTCCACTCTAGGAGACGCAGGGCCCTGACAGGCAAACCACCTCAACCTGAAGATTTTGAAATATAGAGGGCGCAGTCAAGAGCTTTGTAGTGTTTTTGTCAAAATTTGCAATGGTTACGTGAATGCATTTTTTTTTCTCACGGCTCTAATGATTACAATAAAACTTTCTCTAGGTTTCGTATCATTTAGTTCGGTCTTATATAATCATCCTACTGCCGCATAATGTCCGTCCGATTTGGTAGATCACTCCTTCATGTATGATTATACCCCAATTGGAGAGTCATTAATTGAATTTAAAAGTTTGATCTCGATATCTTCATAACACCAAACCAGTTAGTACTTGGCTCAAGTGCTTCATCTAAACAATGCATCTTTGCCTGTCGCATGATAAATATAAACTTTCCTTAGCTTAATGTTTACAGATTAGGTTTGGTCAAAACTTAATCTCGAAATTTTCCTTTTACCCAGAGATCTGCCGCTATTTGGAATTGAAGATCTCAAACTCAAAAACATTTGAAGGTCAGCGCATGGTGAATCACGTGATTCGAGTTAAAGACGTGAAGAATAAAGAGTCATGTGAGATTCAATGTTTCTTGGAACCAAACTGTGTCAGTTATAATCTCGAAAGAATACTAACAGAAATTGACGGAATACATAAATGTGAGTTGAATGATGTCACTCACGAAGGAAACAATGACGACCTGGTCGAGGATGAAAACTACTATTACCGAGGGGCAGAGGTAAGTGCCGTTTAGACCCTGCCTCAATCAGTTTATGAAATTAATATTTTAATAGGACATTAAAAAGTATCTGTGTTAAGCTTTTGACACTGTAAGACAACATTGCATTGCACTCATGAAGTTCTCGACTTCACAGTCAAAGATTGTAGTAGTAATTTAGGATTTGAGAACAACATGTTATATTATTGTAAAGACGAAATTGGACCACGGGTCAAGTGAGCTAGATGTTATTGAAAGATATGATTTTTGTAAATCATGATATGCCTATCGGTATCTTTCCATATGCTTTTTTACTCTATAATCTCAGAATGTCTGTTTAACAAATCCTTACAAAAACAACGCCACTTGTCACAGCGGTAATACTGGCGGAGGTAATTGCTGTTTGTGTACTGCTGGATTCAAGGGTCAGATCTGTGAGGAAGGTAGATTATTCTATAAATACTTCAGTCACCATCTTTGAGGTTAAAATGTAACTATGCGCGCAAATGAAACTCACATGTGCTCCTGTTATTCTTAGTCAATC